TGAACCCTGACCTGCGAAATCACATTACTTGACTGCGTGAGACCAATCGAAGATCAAAACATGACCTCTCTGGACAAGGGATGCTCAAAATAATTAAAATTAATTAATTTTAAACGATTAAAAATTCATTCATTCATTTTCTTATCGGCTTAGTCCCTTTATTAATCTGGGGTCGCCACAGCGGATTGAACCGCCAACTTATCCTGCAAGTTTCTACGCAGCGGATGCCCTTCCAGCTGCAACCCATCTCTGGGAAACATCCACACACACACTTATATACTACTGACAATTTAGCCTACCCAATTCACCTGTACCGCATGTCTTTGGACTTTGGGGAAACCGGAGCACCCGGAGGAAACCCATGCGAAGGCAGGGAGAACATGCAAACTCCACACAGAAACGCCAACTGAGCCGAGGTTCGAACCAGCGACTCAGCGACCTTCTTGCTGTGAGGTCTTGCTTTTTGTAACTATTATTATTATAATGTAGTGCTGGGAAAAAATTTATCACAATTAATCACACCCAAAATAAAAGTTTATACAACACACACACACACACACGCACACACACACACACACACACACACACACACACACACACAAGAAAAACTACACAAACTTTTTTTTTAAACAGATATTCAATGATTGATTGATTCCTTTATTCATTTTCCTTTGGCTTAGTCCCTTATATATGAGGGGTGACCACAGTGGAATGAACCGCCAACTATTCAAGCATCTGTTTTAAGCAGTGGATGCCCTTCCAGAAGCAACCCAGTAATCGGAAACACCCATACACACTCGCATTTGCACAGATATGTAAATTTATGTGTAATTTGTATCTTATACATTTACATTTTACATCTAAATATCGATAAACATTTTCTCAAAAAATATGCATTAATGCGTGTACTTATATATGCATAATAAATATACACAGTACACACACACAACTTATGTCAAAACTATTTTTTTCGTGATTAATCTTTCCCCAGCACTATTATTATTATTGTTATTATTATTATTAATATTATTATTATTATTATCATTATTAAAATACATTACTTTTACATGTTTTAAAATGTAATAAGTATTAATTTAAATTTTAAATAACACCATTTATTTAAAAAAAATTTGCATATTGAATTTCATATTATGTATCAAGCTATTGCATAACACAATTGTTTTATTTAATTCCTCATCAGGCTGTTTTACTGATACTGTGCTGTACTGTAGATATTTACAGTTGAAGTCATAATTATTAGCGCCCCTGTGTACTTTTCCCCCCAATTTCTGTTTAAAGGAGAGCAGATTTTTTTCAACACATTTCTAAACACAATAGTTTTAATAACTCATCTCCAATAACTGATTTATTTCTCTTTGCCATGATGACAGCACATAATATTAGACTAGATATTCTTCAAGACACTTCTATACAGCTTAAAGTGACATTTAAAGGCTTAGCTAGGGTAATTAGGGTAAAGTTAGGGAAATTAGGCAAGTCATTGTATAACAGTGGTTTGTTCTGGAGACAATCCAAAACTAATATTGCTGAAGGGGGCTAATAATATTGACCTTAAAATGGTTTTAAAACTATTAAAAACTGCTTTCATTCCAGCCGAAATAAATCAAATAAGACTTTCTCCAGAAAAACAAATATTATAGGAAATACTGTGGAAATTTCCTGAATATGTTCAACATCATTTAGGAAATCTAAAATAATAATAATAATAAAAAAAAATCACAGAATGGTGAATAATATTGACGTCTAGATGTTCACCTTGACAGGTCCTTCACCAGCGTCTGCAGCTCTGACAGCAGGTAATAATGTCTCTCCTGTTGTCTGGCAGAATCAGACTGATCACCACTCACAGTACAGTACAGATCCATGATGATCCCACATCAGCCTTCACATCTGGAAAACACAGCAGAACAAGTCTTAAACCTCTTCTTAAAGGGATAGTTCACCTAAAAAATGATAAATAAATGCTTGTCATTTATTGATTCTCATGTGGTTCATGAGTTTTTTCCTCAGCAGATCACAAAATAAGATATTTATAACTATATTTTAACATGCAATATATGGAATCAGTTTAGTCTCAAAAGAAATTCACGCAAAAGACACGATGTACACATGCGTAGCCAAATTCACGTGCATAAAATCAAATCCACATGCGTAAAATATTTATTTCTAAACCAACTTTACCTCTATCGTTATTGGTTTAAGCTGGATTTTTCAGCTGGGCTTGCATTTCTTAAATTCTGCTTTGACGTTACAGTTTTACTGAATGCGAATGTCCGAATATGCTAATATAAATCTTGTGTTTATGAACAACGCGAATATATACAATCACAATACAGTATAAATAGGAATAAACGCACTTTACCTCAGTAAATTTAGGTAAATGTGACAATTTTCTTACGACGGTTTTAATGAACAACATCTATTTAACAGAAAGCAAAACATAGTGACTGAACGAAACTCTCACCTGCTTTGTGTTTCAGCTCCTGGAGAAAACTCGACTGACGTTTAAAGCTGTCAAGAACAAACACGAGCGATATTTTCATCAATTTTGTCAACAATAACAGTTTACTTCTTCTTCTTCTTCTTCTTCTTCTTCTTCTTCTTCTTCTTCTTGGTTTATTGGCGAATTGCATTCTTTCTGCATATCGCCACCTACTTTGCTAGTTGTGCAACCACATTCTGCCATTGCTCTGCCCCAATTTTTTATTTTTATTACGCTTTAAACAACAGATATATGACAATATGGTGAACAAAACAATGCCATGGTGATAGAAAGTAAATGATAACAACAATAAGAAAATGAATAAATAAAACAAAGATAAAAACAAGAGTAAAAATAATTAACTAAAATTCTTACAAATACAAATAAGCAGGACCTTTACATTAATCAAAAATATTGAAACTTGAGCACAGTTGGACAATTTTAATGGCCTTTCGATTAGCACTATGCTGAATAGTGCAAAATTAATTTTTCAGTTCCTTATAAAACACAGTAAAACAAGTTTTTTTGTTGAAAAATTTACACTTATAAAATCTGAAACTTATTTCCCAGAGATGGGTTGAGACTGGAAGGGCATCCGCTGTGTAAAAGTTGGATTTATAAAGGGACTAAGCTGACAAGAAAATGAATGAATGAATGAATGAATATGAAAATGGTTTCCAGCATTTTCCAGCCTGAAAATGATTATTACTCTATTTTTCATTCTATTAGCCCTATTATTTATTTTTAAACTACAGTATTTTGTAGATCTAATAATTAACATATTTATTTATTTATTTATTTATTTATTTATTTATTTATTTATTTATTTATTATTATTATTTTTAATTTATTTATTTATTTATTTATTTATACAGTGCTCAGCATAAGTTCACCCCTCACAAATCCCTCTTTTAAATCTACATTAGTACTGAAGTCAAATCTGGACATTATCTATCAAAATAACTAATGATAACGCTCCAGTATGGAGGACAAAGCCTGCAAAAACAATACATAGAGAAATAAATAAATGAGCAAATATATAAATAAATGAGTAAAAAAATCGATAAATTCAAGCATAAATTAAATAAATAAATGAGCAAATATATAAATAAAATAGTAAATAAATCCATAAATTCATGCATAAAATACATAAATAAGCAAATACATAAATAAATATGTAAATAATCCATAAATTCATGCATAAATTAAATCAATAAATGAGTAAATATATAAATAAATGAGTAAATAAATCCATAAATTAATGCATAAATTAAATAAATAAATGAGAAAATACATAAATAAATGAGTAAAAAATCCATAAATTCATGCATAAATTAAATAAATGAGCAAATAAATAAATAAATGAGTAAATAAATCCATAAATTCATGCATAAATAAAATAATAAATAAATACTCAAATATATATATATATGTGTGTGTGTGTGTGTGTGTGTGTTTGTGTGTGTGTGTGTGTGTGTGTGTGTTTGTGTGTGTGTGTGTGTGTGTGTGTGTGTGTGTGTGTGTTTGTGTGTGTGTGTGTGTGTGTGTGTGTGTGTGTGTGTGTGTGTGTGTGTGTGTGTGTGGTTGCAAACTCTTTATATGGGATTATTTAAATAAATTGAACTTTGCCACAGTGTAAAAAATGATCAATTATTCCTGACAGCATATGTTCTTAGGTCATTGTAACTTATACGTTTGTTTACATTTACATTTAGCAGGTGATTTTATCCAGAGCGACTTAGGTTAATCATGTTCTAACTTAGTTATGCAAGCAGTTTAAAGTCAGTTTAACATAAATAAGTTCAATGGACTCATAAGGTTAATTTGATTCAGCTTACAAAATTTAAGGCAAGCAAGGTTTTTACAGTGTACATATAAATTGTTTGCAACCACTTACCTTAAAAAAACATTTTGTAAATCCAGTGAATATTTTTTCAGTGTGTACACTTATATATGAACTACAATTAAACAATACAAGCAATGCATCTTTGTATTAATTAATTGTCCTCAATTGAATTGATAACACTGGACTGACAGTTTCAATCTACTAGAACTTCTGTGTGAAGCTGCTTTGACACAATCGACATTAAAAATCGCTATAAAAATGAAAGATTCATTGAATTAAAACATAATATATAATATTAATTATTCATTCATTCATTGTCTTTTAGGCTTAGTCCCTTTATTAATTCGGGCTCGCCACAGTGGAATGAACCACCAACTTCACGTTTTACGCAGCGGACGCCCTTCTTGCTGCAACCGACAGCACTACTTATCGCGCCACTGCGTTGCCATATAATATTATTATATTAATTAATTTTTATTTAAACTAATATTATTTCTATTAATAGTAATATTATTAATAGTAATAATAATAATAATAATAATAAAAGTGCTAAAGAAGTAAAGATGAATTGCATCTGATGGTTCTGCCGCTGCACTGCTCGTGTTTCAGCAGCAGGTGTCGCTGTGCACTCATCAGATTCTCACCATCACTGAAGTCTCAAAATCATCATCATCATCCGCGAACATACACTGAGAAACATCACGACACACACGCGGGCACACAAAGAGCACCACACACACACATACACACACACACACACACAATAACACCATCAGTACAGTCAACATGACCAGAATATAACGCAGAACTGATGGACAGGAGAGCGGACTCATCATCATCATCATGAGGATCTAACACACACACACACACACATACACACACACACACACACACACACCAGTCAAGCGCTTCAGGAGGATTATCGGAGACTCTGAAGATGCAGCTGAAGATCTTCATGACATGAGGCTGAGCTGCTGGATGAAGAGCTCAACATCTTCATCATGGCCAGAAACACTTCTCTGTACTTTCGCATCGTCGAGGGGAAAAACCTGCCTGCTAAAGATGTGTAAGTTCAACATCACACCTGCTGAAACGCGCTGATCATGCTTATTGGATCGATCTGACCTGATCTCGAGTGTGTGATCTGATGCTCGTTATGATTTAATGTGAATAATTGAGTTATTAGGATGCTGATGATTATGATGTGTGTTTATGTACAGCTCTGGAACCAGTGATCCATATTGCATCGTTAAAGTCGACAATGAGGTCGTGGCCAGGTGAGTGGCACATCCTCACCTGTGTGTGTCAGATGCGATTGAACGTTCCCTTAAACACTAGATTTTAATAAATGAATAATAATAGGATATTTTAACCATAATCAACAAATGCTTATTCTGTATGGTTCACATATTACAGCAGGCTTATAAATCGGGATAGAAAATAATACTGTTTGTACACAGGGGTGCAACTACACATTTAGGGGTATGCGGGTTCAAATTTTGTGTGATCCCTCTTATTTTATATTAATTACTTAATAATAAATGAAGACAAATTTTCAGATTAATCTTATAACTTTTGACATTATGTATGATTTGACAGTTTATTTTGATAAAAATAAAAACAAATCTAAACAGTTACATCTACATGAACACTTTCGGCTGTGGGACTGCATGTTATTGTGTTAAATGATTTTGAATTAAACAATAACAATATTATATTCGTTTAAAATGCAAAATAATGTTTTTTAACAAAACATATTTATTTATTTTTATTATTTGAAACTTTTAATAAGGATAATTTAAAAAAATAGTTTTGGCACAACGGTGTGCCTATGCGCCGCATATACTGCATACCCCCTTGTTGCGCCACTGTTTGTACAGTATCAAACAATGGAAGCCTACCGAATGTCCCCAACAAATGTGTGTGTTTTTATGCTTATAAGTTTGTGTGTGTGTGTGTGTGTACAGTTGAAGTCAGAATTATTAGCTCTGTTTATTTTTTTCCCCAATTTCTGTTTAACAGAGATATTTTTTATTTACTGTCATCATGGCAAAGATAAAATAAATCAGTTATTAGAAATGAGTAATTAAAACTATTAGAAATGGGTTGAGAAAATCTCTCTGTTAAACAGAAATTGGGGACAAATAAACAGGGGGCGAATAAATGCAAGTGGTGCTCGCTGCAGAGCCATTTGAGGAGAGCTGAGCTCCAGAGAGGGGGAGCTTAAGCTTGAGCTCCACCTTTTTTGCACTTCTTCTACGAGTGATGTCACTGGGGGTAGGGTTAGGGGTGGGGTTGGTGTACGCATTAAAACAGCTTACAGGAGGAGGAGCGACAGCTCATGCTCCCCCTCTCTGGAGCTCACCTCTCCTCAAATGGCTCTGCAGCGAGCACCCTCTCAATAAATCTGGCTTTATATGTGTGTGTGTGTGTGTGTGTTTGTGACATATGAGGACATAAATGTGTATAATGTCTTATATGACACATATTACAGCAGATGGTGAATTATGAGGACATTGGTCAGGTTGGCTTTATTGTCATAAAGCCAAAGGTGATGCCTTAATTTCTCAAAAGGCTTATAAATCATACAGAGTTAGGTTTTTTTTAAATGTAAGGGTGTAAAGTTGGGTTTAGGGAATAGATAATACAGTTTGTACAGTATAAAAACAATGGAAACCTACGAAATGTCCTCACAATTCATAACGCAAACGTGTTTTTTGCGTGCGCATATGTATGTGTGTGTGTGTGTGTATATATATACACACACACACACACACACACACACACACACACACACACATATGCACACGCAAAAACATGTTTGCTTTATGAATTGTGAGGACATTTCGTAGGTTTCCATTGTTTTTTATATTTATATATATATATTGTACTTTTGTGACATATGAGGACATAAATGATGTCGTATATGATATATTACAGCAGATGGTGAATTATAAGGACATTGGTGATGCTTTAATTTCTCAAAAGACTTACAAATCACACAGAATGAGTTTTTTTTTCCAGAAATAAAATGCATAGATTTGGGTTTAGGGGACAGAAAATGCAGTTTGTACCGTATAAAAACAATGGAAACCTATAGAATGTCCCCACAATTCACTAAACAAATTTGTGTGTGTTTTTATGAGTGTGTGTGTGTGTGTTATCTTTGCCATGATGACAGTAAATAATATTTGACTAGATATTTTTCAAGACACTTCTATACAGCTTAAAGTGACATTTAAAGGCTTAACTGGGTTAATTAGGTTAACTAGGCAGGTTAGGGTAATTAGGCAAGTTATTGAAAAAAGATGGTTTGCTCTGTAGACTGTTGGGAAAAAAATATAGCTGAAAGGGGCTCAAAATATTGACCTTAAAATGGTGTTTAATAAATTAAAAACTGCTTTTATTCTAGCCGAAATAAAACAAATGAGACTTTCTTCAGAAGAAAAAATATTATCAGACTTACTGTGAAAATTTCCTTACTCTTTCATTAGGGAAATATTTAAAAAAGAAAAAAAAATCAAAAGAGAGCTAATAATTCTGACTTTAAGTGTATATATATATATATATATATAACACATCTCTAAGAAAATGTGAACTTGGACCACAAAACCATTCATTATGGTCATTTTTTAGAAATGTAATAAATCAGTTTTCCATCAATGTAAGGTTTTAGGATATGACAATATTCGGCTGATATGCAACTTCTGAGCGATGCATATTACTGATCACAAATTGAGAGTAGGAAATAGACAAGATTGTCTTTATGGAACTTGATCTTTACTTAATATTGTAATTGTAATATTGGAAAAAAAGACGTTTATGATTTTGGCCTTTACAATTATTCTTTTTTTATTTTTTGGGTTGGTGTGGGGGGGGGGGGGGGCTAGTAAACATCATCATCACGGTGGCTCAGTGGTTTGCACTGTGGCCTCACAGCAAGAAGGTCGCTGGTTTGAGTCCCGGCTGGCATTTCTGTGTGGAGTTTGCATGTTCTATCCTTGTTGGCGTGGGTTTCCTCCTGGTGCTCTGGTTTCCCCTACAGTCCAAACACATGCGCTATAGGGGAATTGAACTAAATTGGCTGTAGTGTATGAGTGTGTGTGTGTGTGTGTTTGTGAATGAGTGTATATGGCGCTGCGTAGAACATATGCTGGAATAATTGGCGCTTCATTCCACTGTGTCGACTTCTGAAATAGAGACTAAGCCAAAGAAAAATCAACGAATGGATGATATTGATTGTCGATTATATTGATGATACATTTTTGGCAGTTTTATTGATCAGAGATTTGCTTCACTGCACTTCATAACTAATCACTAAATAACTGCAGCCCTAAAACCACTGTGTGTGTGTGTGTGTGTGTGTGTGTGTGTGTGTGTGTGTGTGTGAGTGTGTGTGTGTGTGTGTTGCTCTGGGATGCTGTATTGTGACAGTCTGATGAACAGCACACCTGGTGTGGTGCATATTTAAAGCGCTTTGTGTCTTTTGAAATGGAAATGATCAGGCGTCCCTTTGAGAAATTGCTGAATTGATTGATTGTTTTCCAGCGTCGTCACTCGTGGCCATTTAAATTGTTCTCTGTATCCAGGCAGAGTCTATTTCAGGATGTATTAAACTTGCGTGAATTGGCTCCGTGCCGCATGAAGCTGCGCTTATGAAGCAGAACTTAATTAGAGTTCAGAGCAAATGTTCTGGGAACGTTCTCTCAACGTTACTGTATGACCAATTAGTGGCTGTTTGCACTAGCATGTATGTTTTGGGTCTGTGTTGTAAAAGGGTGGCTTTGGTGCATTTTCCCACACTATTCACTAGGGATGTAACAATATTTTAAATACCGTCATACCGCAATAGTAATTTTTTTCAGTATTACCGTAGGCGCATGACTCAATAAAACTATATTTCTGAGAAAAGTTTGCTCAGGCGAATGAAGCGAACGGGAGGTAGCGGGAACTACAATTCCCATCAGCCCAGGCGTGGTCATCATCCTTTGCGGTCTGTTGTCGCTACAGATCCAGTAATGTGGAAATGGAGTGTGCTGCTAGTAGGGGGGAAGAAAAAGAGCTGGAAATAATCGAACCTAAAGCGTGTTTTAAATCGGATGTGTGGAAGCATTTCGGTTTCTTTCTAAAAAGATACGAAAAAGGAGAAAAGGTGACAGACAAGGAAAAAAAACAGTATGCAGGCACTGCCAGATTGTGGTGAAATATAAGTCGGGGAATACGGCTAAAAACAGTCGTGGGGACTACAGAACACAGCACACCTGTTAGACTGATGCAGACATTGACTTGTACCACAGAGAGACCTCTATCTCACTCATGGCTTGTCCTCTCAAGTGGTGGAAAGACAATGCACAGCGTTACCCACTGCTGTCAACCTGGGCTAAATCATATCCCTCTGTCCCAGAAACCTCAGTCCCAAATGAGAGGGGTTTTTCTGTTGCAGGGGACATGCCCAGAGATCCCAGCTTTCACCAGATTATAGTTATATGATCATTTTCATTAAAAAACCCATCTCTATCTAAGTGAGTGAGTGATTAAATGTTGAATGTGATGAGTTTTCAACAATACTAAATTGAAACTTTATTTTTTTATATGGTTTAATAGTTTTTTGTTATTAAAATTGAAAAATTGAAGTTCCTGTTTGGAAACGTACAGATAGATGGCTGATTTGTATGTCATTGATATGTTCAGTGCTGAGGTAAATAAACACTTTTGGCACTTTTTTCGAGTCTTTTCATTAGTTTTGTTTTTCCTGTAAACTATTCAATAAATACCGTAACGTGCCATTCATACGGAGGTATTACCGTACCGTGAAATTCTGATACCGTTTAGTAATGAAATGAGGATTATTCATTTTATATACAATGACTTTTCAGCATTCACAAGTTTAGTTCATTTTGACTGACATGACATAAGCAGATGATAATGTTATAAACAGCAGAGAGTTGTTTGAAAGCAATTGATGCATGTCCAAAAGCATTTGCAATGTGTTGGAAGGAATGAGAAACGGCTAATAGGATGTGCACAAATGACTAATTGTTTTGAGAAATGCATGAACTGTTGTGCAAATGTAAATAGTGTAGTAGGAAATGCACCAAAGCCACCGAGAAAAACTGTAAAACACCTTGAATGGTGTAGCAGTTTCGTTCGAGAACGCTGCACAGCCATGAGCTGGAGTTCCCCTGGCTCAAGCGCTGATGAAAGGTCTCACGAGCAATATTTGTCTCATTAGTTTTAGGCCTTTTGACAAATGGTTCAGGATTGGTAGAGCTGCGCATCGATGAATTTGCTCTTCAGTGTTTGAACTCTCAGTAATGATTAAATCACACTGAACTGAGCTAAACTGAACTGAACTGAACTTAAACACTAAAACCTGAACCACACTGTTCCAGTTACTATGACCATTTATGTGAAGCTGCTTTGACACAATCTACATTGTAAAAGCGCTATACAAATAAAGCTGAATTGAATTGAATTGAATGTCTCAATTAAGTTTAGCTGTTTTAAGGAGAGTTTGCTAATTTTGAACCTTGTTTTAAACAATAGCTAACTGAATTGTATTTTTAGTGTGTGGGAAAAACCGCCAGCAAAACTAAAGCCAATAGATTTCTTCACCCATCTCCCACCATGCAAGTACATACTTTAAAACACACACCTTTATTTATTCTCATTCTGTCTTGCTTCATAAATATACCGTTGTGTATACTGTTTAATCATCAATATGAATTATGTAAAAACTAAATAAATAAGTGACATTAATTCGCGCCCTCTTATGGTAGGTATGCACAGTGCATACAGCCGTACGCCAGCAGGCGCCCCTGTCCTGAGCATTTTCAGGACGTGTCTGAAAAAACGTTTTTGCATTGGAATAAAAGTACAGAGTAAACTGTCATGATGAAAAAATGACAGCCATGCATGTGACTATCTTGTTCATAAATCTTGATGAGACATTCATTGACATCAATACTTGCTTTTGAGTAATGAGCTCTCCATTTTGAGCATGTGACGCGCTTTTGCAGGTTATCAGCTAGGTTTTGCAGTTTGAACTAATTGTTTTGAGAAATGCATTAACTGTTGTGCAAATGTAAATAGTGTAGTGAGAAACGCACCAAGAAAAACTGTTAATGATCTGGTCTTTAATAATATTCTCAATTATTAGCTGAAAACATTATTTACTGTATAGATCAATTATGAAATTGCTTTACTGAAATGTGCATCAATATTTATTTATGGACAGACAGACAGACAGACAGACAGACAGACAGACAGACAGACAGACAGACAGACAGACAGACAGATAGATAGATAGATAGATAGATAGATAGATAGATAGATAGATAGATAGATAGATAGATAGATAGATAGATAGATAGATAGATAAACAGACAGACATAGGGCCCTATCATACACCCGGCGCAGTGTGGCGCAAGGCGCGGCGCAATACTTGTTTGCTAGTTTCAGCTTGGCACAAGAGTTGTTTTGAGGCGTTGCGATACGCTGTTTAATTAGTAAATGCATTAGCGCTCATATGTGCGCCCATAGGCATTCTGCTCTAAAAAGCAAGGCGTTCTGAGGCGGACCACTGGCGCGTTGCTATTTTGAGAAACTATAATAGATTTTTCATTAGACCAAAACAAACCCGGTCTGAACTCCAGCGCAGAGTTGCACCTCGCTTACACACTGCTTAATACACACAAGAGAGCAACAGGCAAATATCTTTACATATGAAAACATATAAATATTAAGGATATATATAGGATATAATAAGAATAGATATAGGATATAAATATAAAGGATTAAAATATTACAAAACATATTATTTTCTAGCCTACATAAATATGAAAAATCACTGCTTTTATACCTTTTTCATCTCGGGAGGCTTTTTCAGTTCATTCATAACAATTTGCTTTTGTATAATGTTATTATTATTAGCAGTATTATTTATTATATCCATGGGGCACAGCATGTGTTTTAGGATATAACTCAGGTTTTTGAGCACACTTCCTTATTATTGTTCATTTATTCGTTTGCTGGAAATTAAAACTGAATGTAGAAACAGTTTTGAAACTAATATTTGCGCTTAACAAACAAAATTAATTATTTATAGACTAATTGATGTCTGTGCTTAAAGGTTTTCCTGTCCAAGAGCAAAAGTGAAAGTAATCCATTATCTCTCATTCTTGCTCGGTAGATGCTCTGTTTAACTGTTTTCTGTTAAAAAAAAACTGTTAACTGTTTGCTAGTGAAATGCTCATTTTGTCCACTTAGACTTACTTTGCGTCCTGTAAATAGCGAATGCGCTCTTGGCGCGACGCAGCTGGCTCTTAAAGGGAATGGGAGATGAGACTCTGATTGGTTTATTCTCAAAACACACCTATAACTCATTAAGAAAATAAACTCAACCCTTTTAGACCATGCGCCACAGCGAAAAGCGGATTTTCCCGTCCGTAAATTAGCAAAAATGCGCTCTGACACACCCTGGAAGCGTTTGCGCCCTGCTCATGGACGGTAGAATGATAGATACAGACACACAGACAGACAGACAGACAGACAGACAGACAGACAGACAGACAGACAGACAGACAGACAGACAGACAGATAGATAGATAGATAGATAGATAGATAGATAGATAGATAGATAGATAGATAGATAGACAGATAGATAGATACCTCTTCTCTATTTATACATCGTGTGCTTCCTACCTGAATGCCAATGTTTCTACAATAATGTTTTCTGTTTCACCCAGAACTGCGACCGTCTGGAAAAACTTGAATCCATTCTGGGGTGAAGAATACACTCTTCATCTGCCAATGGGCTTCCATACGCTCACCTTTTACGTGATGGACGAGGACACGATTGGGTAACAAACTCACAACTCTGCTTTTGAGTGAAAGAATGCTGGGCTGTTTTAACCCACAAATCTTGGGTCAAATTTGGTCAATCCCATCAGTTTGCTTGAAAAATGTAGAAGTGCTTTGAAATGTGCGTTTTTGTTCCGTGTGTGACGTAATATGAACTTAAATATGAAGACAGGCTGCGACTTGAAGTAGCTCCTCCTCCTTTATAAAAAACAGCCAATAGTGTTTTGCTTTTCTCACAGATCTGCCAGTGGGAGTGGTTTAGCTGATATAGCAGAATTAAAGGGGGCGGGATTGTGTCAGATACAAGAAAGCATTTGATTGGTCAGAAGATTTGATGAGGTGACAAACAAAACTGCTGATCTGTTTAGACAGACAAAACTGCAAACTTTGGATTTTTGTGTCTTCTAAATACACATTTTGTCACTATTTTTGAAGACATTAACTCATAGATATCCTTCAGACTAATATACTGAGAATAACATAAAAAAAACATTTTATAAAATGTATTAATAAGCTTTGTGATTCATAAACATCCAACAATTGTGGAAATGATTATAAGCTTAAGTACATTATTGCACATATCAGATATAATAGTTATAATTTGTGACATATGAAGTTATTTATCTGTTTGTACTTCCAACTTTTTCTGTCGGTAATATTGGACCCAATATTGGGTTACAAAAACCAGCATGTGAGCGTGCACTGAGAGTAAATGAGCAGTGGTGTTTGTGTGTGATCCGCTGAGGTGCACAGATGGTGCATTCTCTAAGTATGCTCCATATGTATGATATGAGCTCAAAAATATACTCACCGGCCACTTTATTAGGTACACCTGACCAACTGCTTGTTAATTTCTTATCAGCCAATCACATGGCAGCAACTCAATGCTTTTAGGCATGTAGACATGATCAAGACGATCTGCTGCAGTTCAAACCAAGCATCAGAATGGGGAAGAAAGGGGATTTAAGGTGACTTTGAAAGTGGCATGGTTGTTGGCGCCAGACGGGCTGCTCTGAGTATTTCAGAAACAATTTTCACAACCATCTCTAGGGTCTGAAAAAGAGGAAATATCCAGTGAGCGGCAGTTCTGTGGGTGCAAACGCCTTGTTGATGCTAGAGGTCAGAGGAGAATGGCCAGACTGGTTCCAGCTGATAGAAAGGCAACAGTAACTCAAATAAGCACTCGTTACAACCGAGCTCTGCAGAAGAGCATCTCTGAACACACAACACGGCCAACCTTCAGGCGGATGGGCTACAGCAGCAGAAGAGCACACCGGGTGCCGCTCCTGTCAGCTAAGAACAGGAAACTAACACAGGCCTACCAAAATTCACCAGAACACTTCGGGTCCATTAGTACCAATTGAGCATCGTGTCAACACCACAGCCTACCTGAGTATTGCTGCTGACCATGTCCATCCCTTTATGAGCACAGTGTCTCTCCATCATTCTGATGGCTACTTCCAGCAGGATAACGCTACATGTCATTAAGCACCAATCATCTCAGACTGGTTTCTTGAACATCACAAAGGGTTCACTGTACTCAAATGGCCTCCACAGTCACCAGATCTCAATCCAATAGAGCACCTTTTATTGAATTTTACAGAATTAATTGTATACACAGCAATGAGTAGACAGTGTTTTTAAGGGGAAAAAAAGAAATTAATTAATTAAAAATATATATTTATGAAAAAAAAAGTGTGGTCTAATTTAAAATAGTATTACAATAACACGGTGTGCACAGTTAAGGATAATTAGTAATTAGCCAAGACAGGTCAAACAAATTTTCCAAAGCTTCTAAATTGACTTGAATTTCTTTTTATTATATGTCCAATCTTTTCCATATGGATTCGTTAATCAGCATTATCCAATCTCAACCCATTTATTCATAATTAATTTCCTTCCCAGCATCAGTAGAGGTTTAAAGACATCTGAATGTTCCAGAAAAAAAAGAACACCTAGTAAGCACATTAATGGGGACCAATAGAGCAGGGGTTCCCAAACTTTTCAGCCCGCGACCCCCAAAATGACAATGCCAGTGACTCGTGACCCCCAATATCCTCTGAGGTGGTTATAAATACAGAAACCTGGCATGCAATGGTGCACACACATCAATAGACCCAAGTCTATTCTTCGTTTAATTTTTTTATGTATGTCAGTGCTTTAAATGTGCCAGAAAGTTTAACCGGGTGTTATAAAATCAATCTGCTGCATCTGACGCTATTGCTGTGTCTTTAATATAATGTAATTAGCCCAGGGGGCGCAATCCAATGGAAATGGTAACTATAACCTACTATAGTATCTAAATAGTATATAGTATATATCAGGGGTGCTCAATCCTGTTCCTGGAGAGCCACCTTCCTGCAGATTTCAGTTGCTACCCATATCAAACACACCTGAACCAATTAATTAGGACCTGAACACCACTTGATAATTACAGGCAGGTGTGTTTGATATGGGTAGCAACTGAAATCTGCAGGAAGGTGGCTCTCCAGGAACAGGATTGAGCACTCCTGGTATATATAAACATTTTTTTCTCTTCAGTAGTTTATGGATAAAATATGGTAATTCCTATGGTTTAATAAAAATAAATAGCTTTTTGAAAATCACCAGGCGACCCCCCTTCATTGTCCTGTGACCCCTCAGGGGGTCCAGACCCCCACTTTGAGAACGACTGCAATAGAGCACCGTTGGGATGTGGTGGAACGGGAGATTGGCATCATGGATGTGCAGCTGACAAATCTGCAGCAACTGCGTGATGCTGTCATGTCAATATGGAGCAAAATCTCTGAGGAATATTTACGGTAGCTTGTTGAATCTACGTCACGAAGGATTAAGGCAGTTCTGAGGAGAAGAAGGGGTCCAAAGCGGTACTAGTAAGGCGTACCTAATAAAGTGGCCGGTGAGTGTATACTACATTTGGAATCTGTACCATCTATCACTATATTTCAAAATATTTAAAAGTCTGTGTATTTAGAACAGTGCACATGTGTTAATAATTGATTATGGTTTATATTATTATGTGTCATGTTCTGTATTTTTTTGTAGCTGTGCTGGCTCCCTAGTAGAAGAGATATTGTATCTCAGGGGGACTATCCTGGTTAAATAAGTAAATTAAAACAAAGCAAAAACTCACAGATGGTGCACTGAGATCCACTGAGCACATCTCTGACTCTGATCTGTCTGTTTGTCCGTCTCCTGTAATCTGGACACTTCACTCTGCAGTCATGATGATGTCATCGGTAAGATCTCTCTGAGTAAAGACGTGATCGCAGCTCAACACAAAGGTAAGACTAACACATACTGTTGAAGTGAGAATTATTCACCCCCCTGTGTTTTTCTTCTTCAAATATTTCCTAAATGATGTTGAATAGATTCAGAAATTTTCTCACAGTATTTCCTATAATATTTTTACTTCTGGAGAAAGTCTTATTTGTTTTATTTCGGCTGGAATAAAAGCAGTTCTTAATTTTTAAACCCATTTTAAGGTCAATATTGTTAGCCCCCTTAAGCTGTATTTGTTTGGATTGTCTACAACAAACCACTCTTATACAATGACTTGCCTAATTACCCTAACTTTACCCTAATACACCTAGTTAAGCCTGTAAATGTCACTTTAAGCAGAATACTAGTGTCTTCAAGAAGTGAAGTTTAGTTTTAAACTAATTTCGAGAGGAGCATGTGCTCATGATTTACCCAGCTGGTCCACATTAACTAATTATGATCCTCCAATCAAAGGATCCCAAACCACTATATATATCCTCATTTCCTTTCTACAACTATCTTCGTCTGGAAGAAACCCCCCTCCTCCCCTTCTTCCTCCTTTATCCAGAATGGGCGGCACGGTGGCCCAGTGACTAGCACTGTTGCCTCACAGCAAGAATACCAATGGTGTTGGGTCCTCGCTGAGCCATCTGGTATTTCTGTGTGGAGTTTGCATGTTCTCCCCGTGTCCGCGTGGGTTCCCCGGTTTCCTCCCACCATCCAAATGTGCTCTATATTATAGATAAAACAAGCCTAAACCTTTTTTATAATGTCTTACTCTCAGGAAGTTCGCCTCGGCCTCAGCAGCGGGGGAGTTTGAGATAGACCTGAGCTCAATCTCCACTCGCCCTGCAAAAGGGGGGGAGCCCTGGGCTCGAGGATCCCTTGAGCTCAGGGCTCTCTCCCGGGACAGCATGCCAAACAAGCTATGTATAAATCATGAGCTAAGTGTAAACTCTTGAATATCTAGTCTAATATTATTTACTGTCCTCATGGCAAAGAGAAAATAAATCTGTCATTATAGATGAGTTATTAAAACTGTCTAGAAATGTGTTGAATAATAATTCAGGAGGACTAATAATTCAGACTTTATCTGTATATAATATATCATGTGTGGCAAGGCAAGTTGTGTTTATAGCACATTTCATACATGGTGGCAATTCAAAGTGCTTTACATAAACAGGAATAAAAAACACAATTATAAAAAAATAAAAATGATTAAAAACGATGATGAAAATGTTACACAGGATATAAAACAATAAAAAACAAAAGAAACACACAATAGTGTGATCTGTCAGTCGTAGCACAGTGCTCATTCAGTAAAGGCACAGCTAAACAGATGTGTTTCAGTCTTGATTTAAAGGGTCACGAAACACCAAAACACATGTTTTGAGCTGTTGACAGTCGTATATGTGTCCCACACTGCTATAAACACTATTAGGACACCTATATTTCACTAAAAAGTGTAAATTGGTTGTTTTTGCGTTATTTCAAGCAAATTCGTACTTCCGGTTTGAAACGAATTTTTGAAGCTGCGTCACGGTCATGACATAATAGCGTGTATTCCAGCGTGCAGACTGGACGTCTGTGCCAGAGTGTGTCTTATTACGTCTTACAGTGTGATGCATTAATGCATGAGTAAAGCTTGGTTCAAACCAATCAGCGCGCTCTATTGTGCAGCTTCATTAATATTCATTACTGTCACAGTGTTTAGTCGACAGAGACGCCACGTTGTGTTGGCAAAACAAGCGTGAAGTGTTGCTTTTATAGTTTTCTGCAGTGAAGTTTTGTTTTCATTTTCTCTCTGTGAGAGCTCAGCTGGCGTCACGTGTGGATTAACAGTGTACGCGACGCGCGACAACAATAACTTACGTGTCTAAGAAGGATTATTGTTTACCTGAGAGCTGTTCTCATCTGCAAACGCTGAGATCCGGATTTGCTTGTAGTGTTCTCTTAATAAAGACGCGGCTCTAGTTGCTGGTGATTGTCCTGTCTCTACAGATTTGGTAAGTGAGCGACCAGTGCTCTTTGTTTATTCAGTTCGTATTTTATTCGTATCGAAAAAATTATTGCACCGAGTGTAAACAAGTTAGCACTACAACCAAACTATAACCTTGTTTAGGATTTAGTGACCGGAAAAACACACGCGGCTTTCTGACACTACCTGTCGTGTGCATCTAAGTTTCCGGGAAATGCTGAGGTTTTTTTTTCTCTCATTCGCCGTGCGGTATCAAACATTGCATGAAAATGCACGCTTAGAGCAGCGCCTCGAATCAAATATCTCGTTTGTCGTGAGGGGCATGAATGAATTCCCTGAATGAAAGAGACAAACTGCAGTTAAAGTCCACCATTTAATAATTTGGCAAATAATTCGACTACAGATGTCCATGTAAACACAGTCACATTGTCCGCTGTGGTTGTGTGTTTTGACTCTGAAATTCAGTGCGCCCAAATAGACACTCCCACACCATCCCTCTTTTCTTCCTCCGACACTCCCCCCTAAACAGAGCTGAACACGCCCACTTTTCTGACTTTTTCCAAAGTAGAGGTGTGAAAACACCCTGCTGAAACGAGGGGGTTTCATGGCCCTTTAAACGTGCCTAATGTTGGAGCACATCTGATCATTTCTGTTAGCTGATTCCAGCAGCAGGGGGCGCTGTTAGTAGCTGAAAGCTGATTCACCCTGCTTTGACTGAACTCTTGGGAGTTTCTAGTTTGAATAAAGATCTGAGTGATCTGTTAGGTTTGTATTCAGTGAGCATTTCTGTGATGTACTGAGGTCCTAGACTATTTAGTGACTTATAGACCAGTAGTAATACTTCAAAATCTGTTCTGAATGTAACTGGGAGCCAGTGTAGAGACCTGAGGACCGGTGTGATGTGCTCTGATTTCCTCCTTCTGGTCAGACTCCTGGCCGCAGCGTTCTGGATGAGCTGTGTGTCAAAGGAAGAGATGAAGATGCTTGTCCGTGCCTTCATCTCTTCTTGATTGGATTATTGTAATGTTCTTTTCACTTGTCTAAACAAATCCTCTATGAAGCGATTGCAAGTTGTGCAGAATGCAGCAGCAAGGCTTTTAACTAACCCCAGTAGGAGGTCACACATTACACCTGTGCTTAAGGCACTGGCTTCCTATTAGGTTTAGAGTAAATTTTAAGATTTTGGTCTCTACATATGGAGCTCTGCATGGTCAAGCACCCCTGTATATTCAAGATCTATTAAGTAGTCACTCATGAAGTCGGTCTCTGAGGTCTTCTGACCTTTTAATTATTCTCAGAACTCGTCTTAAGACTAAGGCCCCGTTACAATAATGCGTTTTAGTTTAAAAATGATCCGCGTCCACATTATCGTTTCACCTAGTGTCTCTGAACATATCTCCATCCACACTACGCCACCAAAAAACGTGTATCACGTGACCATTCATGCACTCTGGGCACGCGCGATAGAGTATAAACAGGAAGCATGCGTCTCGCTCGGCATTTGGTTATTGTTAGTCAACAAACGCCGGTTGAACAATGAACACAATGGCAAAGAAAGCAAGAGAGGTATTTTTGTGGACAGACATCGAAGTCGAGTTGTTACTAAATGTAACAAATGAATAACTGCACAATGGCGCCTAAAACAGACAATAGTGCAAACAACGCTCCCATTTCTGTGCCCATGTTGTTGTTTACAGTGAAAGCTGGTCTGCTGTCTTCCGGTAGCGTTAAAGCCATGTGTTATAGTCATGTGATACGAGCTTGACGACTAAGGGAAGGATACGCAATGACACAAAAGCCCCAATCAGGTAGCGAATCTCAGCAGCCCCGCCTCCGTTTTCAGATGTCTGCGTTTTCCCCATACGACAACCTCCCGCTCTCCCTCAGGAAGTCAATACGGAAGTAACTAAAACTGCAATTCATCTGAATTTCCGCTAGTCCTGGCCGCTCCTGCTCCAAAACAGAGCAAATTTCAATTGAGCCCACTGTTAGAATGACCAACTTTACAGCAGAATAAAGCTGTTTACAGCCTGCTACAAAAAAAGATTTTGGTTAATACAGCTAATATTACCCTTCATGACAACTGTGAGGGGGTGAATTTTTTTATAACTCATCCGTTTCCTTTATATTAAGTTATATTAAGTTTGCATAATTAAGGGCGTGGCCACTTGAGTGACAGTTAGGTCTCGTTGGTCGCCGTCACGTCACCTCAGCTGAATCCTGCAGATTAGCCACTGAACTCGGCATATTTATCGTATTTCTGTGTTGTTTTATGTGGCTTTACACAGTCAACTGCCTTTTGGACTTGTTTCCTACAATTATTAGATGGCATGGCATGCTGAGTGCACTTAATTGTGCTCACAAACCATTCACGTGGCCTCCGTTTCCCATGTGAGTAAAGTTATATACTTATATACCATCTCTATACATGTATTTGTTTTATTTAAGATCATTTATATTTATATTTAGAGCTGTAATGCTCTCCAGAATCTGTCAGATTGATTAGCTGTAGGCTCTAGATCAGTCATCTGAAGCGTTGTCATACAGTGTTATGCTGGAGTTCATCAACAGTCTTACATTAACTAACACAGACTGTATCTGAAGTGTTTTTGGAAGTAATTTGCGTTTTCCTCCTGTTGAAAAACGTCATAAGCACAATGTTTAGTGGCTCAATGTGTTACATCAGTGCTTTTAAAAGTCTAAACACTTTATTGATATAGTGTACAGCCAAGCACAAGTGGTCAGAACACAAACGAGTCGCAGGTGAAAGTATTAAGCGTTCTCGCAAAGTAAAGTGTGTCTGAACCAGGTCCAAGCAAAATGCCAGCAGGTGTCTGTAGCTCCGCCCACTCTCCGCCTCTTTGCCCTTGTTTGGTATCCCGCCGTGGGTGTGATTACGCGCGAACAAAATGGCGACGGTTGGCCGCGCCTACTTGTGGCTTCTTTTGCGCTCTTTAGAAACCAGTGGGTGACGTCATGGACACTACGTCCATATACTTTACAGTCTACGGTTTTCCCCCATCCACACTGAGACAGAGCAGCAGC